AATCTGGGAAACAAAAGATTAAAGAACTAGCAACCTTTGAAAAAACTTTTTTATTAAGGTATGGTTGATACACAACCTTATGAAGGTTTCACATGAGCAACATTGTGGTTACCATGTTCACCTATATTATCAAGTCCCCGCCACATACCCCATTGCATCCACTGTCCATCAGCCTAGTAAGATGCTGTAGAGTCACTGCTTGTCTTCTCTGTGAGAACTAGCAACCCCCTCTTAAATAAAAGTTATAAAAGTTATAACCATCTTTACCAGTTCATCCAGCCATATATAATTCTTAATCTTGATATTTTGTTAGCAGTTTTATGAATGCAGTTTTTTTCTTAGAGTTCTGTAAATTCATACCCAGTTGAGTGATATGATCTGAAAGTTATCAGAAACCTGTGCTTGTCAGAGTGCTTTCCACGAATCTCCTTGAAGATGGAATACTTTTGCAAAGGCATCAATAAAATAATAACTGTAAAAATGACAAAAGACTTAAAAATGCCCATGGTTAAAGTTCTGACAAGAGTTCATTATAATGAAATTGACAAGGAAATTTGGTGATTTCTGTGACACATTATAAGATGATAACTGGAATTAGGATTGATAACATTTTATATCATATTTTTAGGAATTTCATATAATTTCTGGAACATTCATGTTAACATATATCTGTACAAGGATATCCATAAAGAAAGTTTAGCATTATTTTTTATTTGACAATGCTTCCCATGTAATTTAACATACCGAGCAATCCTAATTAGTTTAATGTCTTTCTTTTTATAAGGAGAACAATCTTTTGAGATGGTCCAGGGGCCCTCTGCAAAATCCCAGGGTTACTTCCAGGTCAGAAACACTTCACTTAGAATTTGATTTTTCTAAGTCTGTCAAAAAATATCAAAAGGTTTTAGATACTTGACTAAATACGATCACAGGTAATTGTGCAACATACATCTACTTAACCAAAGTGACAAAAGCATTTAAAGAATGTCACATAGTTGTGAGCAAAAATTAGCACTTCTAATATTGAGAAGCCTCAGTTTTTTTAAGCAGTCAAAAACCTGATTAAGAAAACATGAACACAGGAAATTGTTTTGGTAAAACACAAAATCTTTGTTTTCTACCTAGATACTTAAAAGGTAAAGAAAAACCTTTCATATTCTCATACGAGGAGCAAATCAGTTCTCCAGGATAACTTTGTACTTCTGGCAGATGAAAGAAAATTACATAAGCATACTGTTGAAATTAAAGCTTGTTTTAAAAAACAAAAAATTTTGTCATGACAATTTTGTTTTTAGCTAACTTGACCACACAAGGTAAATATTCTGTCTCCCCAGCTTTCTATACCATTTTGTCCTTTATTTTCCTCTTTCCCATTCTGAAGTCATCAGTTTTACTTTAGGACAAATCTGCTTTCTTTTTCCTTAACAAAAACGGATCTCCATACTTCATACCGTCTATTAGCCAAAAATGCATCTTACTTCCTTTGCGTAGAGAGATGTTTCCTTTGTTATTTCTTGTAGCTTTAATGACATATATTAATTAGAATTCTTAATCCTTGAAATCTTAATTTCTAGTGAGAACTAAGAAATAAGCAATTATGAACTACTTCATCAGCATTCTTTAGATTGGCAAATGTATGAATGGATTTCTTAATTTGTAGAAACATACATTTCTTAGCACAGTTGTTTAGTTGCTGTGAGACATGTTTCTTTACAGACTCAAATTCTTAGTTCCTCTAAGAGGTCAAAAGTAGGTAAAGTTAGACTTGCTCAGCGATTAATGTTTTGGTATTTCATCTTATTTGGAAATGATCTACACATTCAGTGAATTTCCATAATTCAGTTTAACTTAGTAAAATTCTAAGGTGGAAGTTATCAAAGATTTGGAAAGTATTTTTAAGTAGACATACCATAGTGCGTACTTATTGCTGAAAAGTTCACCTAAAAACTATCATCTCTTTTAGATCTGAATCACTTGTTCCCAACAGTTGTGTTTAGACTAACTGGGAAAACTTCCTTAGTAGAGAGTCAGACATCACTCCAAGCTCTTTTTCTTGCTGACAGATTTTTTGTATAGAGATAACATCAGTTTATTTGATTAGGAAACCCAGGTAAAATAGAAGTTGTTTACCTGTATCATATTTAATGCTAATAACTCTGAACACATACCTTTTTTAATTAAACCAAACTTAAACTAGCCTTTATTTAGCAAAGATTATCCCAGATCATGTGAACTTGAAAAATATTTGGGTTAGTTTCTATATTTCTGAGTTTTAGGAATACTTAATTCATAAGCACTTATTTTTAAGCCAGTTACACAGAGCTCTTTTTGAAATTTTGGCAATACCTTCCAGAGGTAGAGAGGAAACACACACACACACACAATATATATATATACCTGTAGACATGCATAAACATGCAGGCAGACACAGAGACCCTAGCTTCCATTCCAAAATTTTAGCCATAAATGAGGTACAATATAAAACTTACTAGTTTATAAATAACAGGTGAATCCAAATTGGCAGATGGAACAAAATAAGGATACCTGTTGCAATGGCTAAAACTTTTTATTAATGTTTGTGGGGAGAACTTTTAAGGTTGGATTTGTCCTTGATAAGTAACATTAAGGAGGCTGTGGACTAGATTTTGGACAAGAGAGTTATCCTAGCATTTTGTATTTTAAAAGGCCTCTTTCCCCCTGTTTTGTTTTTTCTTCAGTCTCAGGTGATTGTGGGCAGTTTTAGTTAACTCCTGGGGTCTGTAAGATTTACATCTTCAAGGGACAGGGAAAGAAAATGTAAGTTTTCCCCCTAGGAGTTTTAGTGCCTTTTGGATGGCTTTGGCAGTGCCCCTGAAAATGTCGTAGCACTACCCTGTAACCGGTGAGCACCTCCGAGAGAATAATTCTATGGACTCAGAGTCAAATGGGGCCTCCTCAGGGTTGGAATGAACAGAGAGGGTCATGTGGGTCCCTGTGGTCATGGAAGTGATGAGTCCGCTGGGCCGTGCCAGTGTTGTGTGTGGCTTGATGTTTCCCAGCCAGCATGGGCCACGGCAGGGCTCACTGTGGTGAGGGGATGGGCAGTGCCAGACCATACATCCAAGTGGGGAGGGGAAGGGCGCTGGTGTGCATCGGCGGCTCTCGGGGCCTTTGCCTTCCCGTTTCTGTCTCCTTCTCACCGGAGGCCTCCATAACACTATTGGCTTTTCGCCTGGAGGCAGGGCTGGGGCATCTCAGGGTAATGGGCGTGAGGCCCAGACGGAGCTGTAAGACATTCACCTGATTCTCGGTTCTATGGAGATACTGGCCAGTTGACGCGTTTGGCAGCTGCAAGTAACAATTCAAAATATGTTCTGTACAAACAAAACCTGCAATAGCCAATTAGCTTCCCGCTCTCCTTACTGCTGTATAAAATCTTTAAGAAAGGTTTGAATTTCAGTTAAAGCATGGTTTTTTCATTTCATTTCCTACTTGTTCTGTCCTGTTTTTATCTAGTAACGTGTTGTCACTGGAATGTCTTGGATGCTGTCACGGTGGCGGCTGTCCTCTCCAGGGTGTCCCAGGGGCCTCTCCTGGTTGGGGGCTGCCTCCACTGGCACAGGGTCTTTGGAAGAAGCCCTTAGGCTGGAGCATAACACCAGGGTCTCGGCATGTTGGTGTGCCATGGCACTGAGCTAAGTCAGGGAAGCTGCCGTGGCGTTTGCATTTTTTGAGGAGCTGGTATATTATCAGGGTTCTTGGGGGACCCTGGTACCAGATATCTAATCATTTCACCATACCTCATGGCCTCGCTCAGTCTGCTCTGGGAAGATTGTTAGATGATCACGGCAGCCATGGCCTCTGGCTTGGGAACCAGAGGTGACACACGACAGAGACCACCCGCAGAAGCACACGGCAGCGGGAGAGATGCCCCAGGAGCGGTGCTTCTTTCCCGATGGTGTTGCCCACCTGAGTTAGGAGGTTAGCAAGCTAAGTTAGGTAAAGGTCATTCTCGGGTAATTGCAAGGTCCTTCTTGCCTACTGTGCCGATTGGCCTCAGCATAGCGATAATCAGTGCTGTGGCCGAAGCAGGCCTTGTGGTTCTTGTTATGATCGCAAGACATCCTCCAGGGATAACTCAGGAAATTTTGGAACAATAAAGGTTTATTACAGGACCTAGAAATTACACAGCCCACCTGGTGCCACAGAGCAGGGTTGTAGGTAGAGAGAAAGAGAGGACATGTGGGCCTGGGAGTCTGCTTTGATTGGGGTTGGGGGTGGGGGCCTAGGGTTTCATGGGCTCACTCTTTAGTGGTGAATTTAAAACATAAGAGTGGGAATTTGCAGGTCAGGAAGTGAAGAAAACAGGTGGCCTAAAACGGTCAGTTATTGAAATCAACCAAGATCTCCAAAGCAGAGAGCCTCAGAGAGGGGAGGTGGCATCGCTCTCTGTCTAGTCCTGTGGCCGGCACTGTGTCTCCCTGAGATGGGCGTCTTTGGAGTGCAGGCCTCTGTCAGTCAAAGCTTGAGTCAGGTGCTTGCGTTACAAAAGTAGAAGCAAACCAGCTGTCAGGGTTTATACTGCAAATCAAAAGATAGAATAAGGATAAAGTTAGAGGTAAAATTTTTTTCATAAAAAAAGTGGTACATGAAATGTAATTTTTCTGGATGTGGAAATTCATTTTTATAAGCCTTGTTGGGTTTAAAAGAAATTGCAAGTAAGTGTGTTCAGTAACATTATCTGATATTAAGTTCTCAGATGTAACCTGAGTTATCAAATATTTTCCTTTGAAAATGGAGGGAGTTTTAAAAAATACACTCTATAGGCAGTTGAAACATTTAGATAAGATCTGCCATTTTGGGAATAGTTGCTGCAATGTCAGAACATTATCTAGAATTATTAAAAATAAAGATCTAAGAATGAGTATTTGTAGAAACGGCATTTAGGAGGCTAGTTAAGGAAATCTGATAGTTGGGTGACTGAAATATTGCTAACATTTTATTGTTATTTGTTGGGATAGCCATTTAAAGATCGCTGTGAGTGGTTCTATGAACATTTGCATTCAGGGCAACCAGATTCAGACATGGTGCACAGGCCAGTGAATGAAAATGACATCCTGCTGGTTCACAGAGGTATGTTAACTGAGAAATTGATGTGTATTAGAGGCACAAATACTAGTTATTGTACATTTTAATATGTTAAATTAACCAATGCTACATATTTAGATTCTATTTTTAGGAGTAGCTGTGAAGTTGTGTCAAAAGCCAATCGTGCAAAGTTAAAGCAAGGCCTTGCTGTGCGGTTCCACGGAGAAGAAGGCATGGTGGGTATAAAATAAGGGCTGTTCAGATCACTTATGTAAAAGGTTGAAGTGCACTTGAAGAAGGTTTACTATTAAATTGATAATAGAAATGTAGTATGCATTTAATTGTATTACTTAGAAAAAAACTTTCCCACATAATGTATTTCTGTTGATACTTAATTTTATTTTCTTGAACTCAGGGTCAAGGTGTTGTGCGTGAGTGGTTTGATATTCTGTCTAATGAGATAGTCAATCCTGATTATGCATTGTTTACCCAGTCAGCTGATGGTAAGTTGTACTATCCACATGGCTTTTTCTTGTGACTTGTCACATTTTCAAACTGCTTCAGTACGTTTTTTTTCCTTTGATTCCCATAGTAGCCCTCTGAGCTAGGTGGGGTATTGCCATTTCGTAGAAGAGAAGATTGAAATTCAGGGTTTTTGTCTACATTGATACAGATAATGAGGGGGAAGGGTCATGAGTGGGACCCGGCTCAGCCCAGCACTCCTTCCTCTGAAGAGGCGGGTCGCGGTTGCTGGCCTCAAGGACTAGTGGCTGGTCCAAGGAAGTTTTCGTTAGTTCTTTATTAAAATAAAACTAGATTTGCTCGATGTAAGGATTGTCCTATAGTCTACTTTTTTCAGGTTAAAATTTCTTCTGGTGAAATAGTGCAGTAAATGGGCTTAAAAATATTCAAGTCCTTATTTGGAAAAATTAAAATTCACTGTAATCCTATTTGAGTTTCCAATAAAATTTATTGGGCATGAAAGGCAAAGTCATGGTGTTAAATGTTTAACTGAAAATCTATTCACGTATACTAACTTAGTTTTCAGTCCTTTTGAAAGATCAAGACCTTGCAACTACAAAGCTCTTATTTAACCATATAATACAGATTAAAAATTCTCTGTTCAAATGGCGCTTACAGCCTACAGAATTGTAATTCGCTACAGCAGGCTGAAGGGAAATGGTTACCACCTTCTTTGGGTGAGGTGTACTTGGGGGAGTTCTCTGACTTAATAAAGACATAAACAAGTGAAAGTGGGATTTTAGTGTTTAAATGCTTTTCACAATTGCTTTTATTTCCTGAATACCTTTTCTTTCCCTGTGTTTACATTCTTTCATAAGGAGAGGGGGCCTCATTAATTGTAGTTTCTGATTGCATCCCATTAAAACAAGCAGCAACTCTGCCCTGAGTAAGAGGGATGACTGTAAGAGAGGCAGATTTGTTTGGGAGTATGGGACTGGTTGCTTTAACTCAGTAACCTTTGATTATTTGCTCTGAGGTCAGTTTCGTATCTTTGTGATTTTATGACAAGTTCAGTGGGGTATTGAGTTTACCTGGCCTAATTGTTGAAGCAAGATATAGCATTAGAGCATTGTATTTTAGATTTATTTCTTTTCTTATAGTTCCTTATTCTGTGTCTGTTTAGTTTCATACCTGAAAAATAGATATGGCATGGAATGATGAGTCTAGGCATGTCCCCATACTGCGGTGTGGATTTATAGCAGAGCGTATGTGGGAGCACACAGACCACAGAGATTGTGATTCGTCCTTTTTGTAAACTATTTAAGTGTTCTCTTTGGGGTCATAGTATTAATAAATTAAAATTCAGATGAAATATTAAAAAAATTTTTTTCTAATCTTTAGTTGATATAAAGAGAATTACACTTAGGGGAGTTCAGAGTTCCTGAATGTGGGAAGTGTTTGGATAGACCTAATGTTACAGTGATTTCCTGAATACTTGCTTTCTGATTAAATCAGGAGGCTTTCTGCAGAGTGGCAGTGCTGTATAGTGGCGAAGAGTCTGGCCTGTGGTGTTCCTGGGTGGGAATCCTGCTTCGGCTCCTCTTTTTGCTGTGATCTTTCTGGACCTCAGTTTCTTGATTTGAAAATGATGATAACCTATGTTTTGTAACATAGTGAGAAATCAGTTAGCTGATGTGTACAAATGCTTAGCCCAGTGCCTGGCCCAGGGAAAGCAGAAATGTTATATGCTATTATTATTGTGAAATAATGTAGTAAATGGTATTTTCTCGTGCAGTAGGATTTTTCTGAGGCAACGAAACAGCTCAGAGTGTCGGAGTCACATTTATGTTGAGTGTAAAACATAACAAACTTTATAATGTGTTTTAAGTAGTTTTCAAGTTAAAAATTATGAATTTCCTGAAGATTTTTTTCCCCCCTTTTATTTCTTGTTTTTCTTTTGGTTGCTTCTTACCTCTTCTTTTTAATAACCCAGATTTCCCAGAAAGTACTTAGAGAAGGAATTAAACACAGACCTAGGGGAAGAAAGTTGAGTCATCAAAAATCTTGGTTGGTTCATCAGTAACCCAAAGTATTCACATTTTAGTAGGTAAAAAATATTTTTGTGATTATCCTCAGAATATTATAAGTTTGGAATTATTGTTATGTTTGTCTTTTAAGACTTTCTTAATTTCACAAAATTCACTTTGGCTTTTAATAGTCTTACAACATTACTAGGAGTGATTCTCAAAAGGTACTTATAGCTTCATATGGTGCTTTTAAGTCATTCAGCCATAAGCTTCCAAATTTGTACCTTTTATTTAAGTAAACTGGTCACAACAGTTTAGTCCAGGGCCAACAGTGAGAAATCAAAGACCAACAAAGTGCAAACTGAATTATTGTCAAAATACGTATATGCTGTATGCCCAAACATTTCACTTTCCGATACTTTTCTATTTCTATTTATTTAATTTTGTGCTATTTCATTAGATTTAGCCCAGGTGTCTGGAAGCATGAGCTCGTAAAAATTTGTTGAATGAATGAATTTGTAGTCCTAGTTGGTGATCATCACGCAAAAAGAGGGAAAGCATTATTTGAAGTCAGCCTTTTGGCATTATATTTTTCCATTCTGCTAGATTTTTTTTATTTTTTTAAGCATAATAAAAATTTATCTTTTTAAACCATTTTGAAACATTTACATTTAATACATGTACATTTAATACATTCACAATGTTGCATAACGATCACCTCTATCTACAGTGAGATCTTTTTTCATTTAAGTAGAATCATGGTCCATTGCATCCGATTTTGACAGTAATCAGTAACATTGCCCTTGCCATTTGTACTTTTTTTAGACCTCAGAGGTATACTTATTTAAACCTCATTATTGTCATGAGGAAGAACTGGTTGACTTGTGGACTTTAGTGATTTTCTTAGAATTTTTAAGAGGCGTCAAGTTCAGTGACAAGGTCCATCACTTAAGAATAGATGTAGTTTTAAAATTTTGTTCTCTAGTAGCACTCCAGTCTTTAAAGAGCGAAGAGTAGATGACTACCTGCTGCACAGGGCGTGCAGGGATGAGTGAGGCAATGTCTGCCCTGATTCACAGCCTGGCAGTTAGTTCTCTCCTCACTGTCCAGGAGAACGTGTGTGTGTCGGGGGTGGGGGGCGGTGTCGGGGGTGCGGGTGTCATCTTTTCAGGTGTTATTTGCTAGGACCACTCTAACACATCCTTGGCTACTTGCAGTTAAAAGTATTCTAAGTTTTCTTCAAAAAGACTTAATCTAAAGTACGTGTGAATGAATGATAATATTTTGTACTTCTGACTCCACTGCTTATTACATATTCTACAAACACTCCTGAGGTAGTTTATAAATAATTCAACGTTACTTTTGCAAATTGTATGTAAACTGACTTGTCTGCTTTGTAATAATCTCTCTTCTGCCTAGAGTCTTAAAAATAAATTATTTTGTTTTAATAGGAACAACTTTTCAGCCTAATAGCAACTCCTATGTAAACCCTGACCACTTGAACTATTTCCGATTTGCTGGACAGATCTTGGGATTAGCTTTGAATCATAGGCAGCTGGTCAACATTTACTTCACAAGATCATTTTACAAGCACATTCTTGGTATGGCTCTATTGTTATTTCCATAGGCATTTATTTAAAGTGTTTTTCTTATAGTCTTTAGGGAAATCTAAGTAGATCAGTGGTGGTATTTTGGGTGAGAATTTTTATTTCAGTTGGAGACTATCTGTATGTAAAGTATTTGGGGGCCCGAGGGAGAGAGAAAATAACCTACTCTTTTGCTGAAAATGGTTTTTATTTTAGTGTATGTATGTTTATGCTAAGAATGCATTTTAATATGAATACACTTAAGAGGATTGGCACTCTCTGAAGTTTATAATAATTTCTTGAGTAGCTGTTTCAGAGACAGATGACACTGTAAAAATGTGGAAAAAACATAAGCTTAAATTAACGGACTTCCAAATTCAGGAATTAGCAAACCATTTAAATCATACTGTGAATTGGATTATATTTTGCAGTTTTATAGAGAGTCTATAGAGGGCAGTATTTTACCATTAAACAGATCAGGAAAGGCAGAAACAGGCTGTAACTGCTTGCTGTATGTTTGTGTTTTTAGGTATTCCTGTAAATTACCAGGATGTGGCATCCATTGATCCAGAATATGCCAAAAATTTACAGTGGATTTTAGATAATGATATTAGTGATCTGGGTCTAGAACTAACTTTCTCTGTTGAGACTGATGTGTTTGGAGCAATGGAAGAGGTGCCTTTGAAGCCTGGGGGTGGAAGTATTCTTGTGACACAAAATAACAAAGTGAGTATTTGAATTTTTACCTTAGTCGTTGCCTGTGACTTGGCCCTGACAGTCTGCTGGTGACTCTCTGAAGTCTCCCAGCACTAGCTCGAAAAACGGACTGTTAAAAAGAGTTTCCTGATATTTCTTAAAACAGACCAAATATTTAATTCACTAAATCATCAAATTCCTATTGGCTAGTGTAGAATTAGAAAGGATCATTCCAGTATTGTGTTAGATAAGCTGAGCACCTAGAAGCAGCCTAGAGCACAACTCAGTTGAATAAGTTGGGCATCTGCATGTTGAAAAATTGGATTAGAAACACAGGCTTACATCAAGATCACATTTGCATTAACCACTATTTTATGTTTTAAAAGTACAATATTGAGTTCCAATAGAGAAAAGAGGAAATCCCAGTGTTTAAACTTTGCACATGCTGTTGGGATCTAGCAAATCTGTTAAAGTTCTGACCTTTATTTTTTTAACTTTGAAACTTGATTATTTGTTATGATACCTCCTTTTTGTAGATAATATTATTTTTTTAGTTTTAATGAGAAATAATTTACATACATCTGTACATATTTATGTTTAATCTTGGCATATGTTTTAAATTTTAGTGTTGAAAGTCATGTTATTTTATAGTACAGTTTTACTTTATATTTTGATATATTATGTAGGAAATTGGGAGTCAGAAAATCTGTTTTAGGAATTCTAGTTCTGTATTTACCGGTAGCATTTTTTGTTTAAGCAAGACTAAAACCTTTATTTTTCCATTAGTTGGCTTTGAATTCCAAGACAGATTGAGAATCATCTAACTATAAAAAATAATGTCCATTGGACCATGTTTTAGACTAGGGGTTTAGTAAAATAGTGTTTTTTTTAATAAAAAGGCCAAAAGACACGGCCATGTTTTAACCACTTTGAGCCTTGGTTTTATGTTACATAGGAAAATAATACCTCCCATATAGAACTGTTAGTGACATTTTGTAAACTGAAAAACACAGCACGAAAGATAGTTCTTATTGGCTAGTTTTCTATAAAAATAGGCCATTTCAGACATATTTAGGGAATTGAAGACCTATATTAAGCTACGTAATTTATTTTTGGAAACCTAGATACCATAAAATATGAAAAAAATAAACTTTAATTATTGAAAATAAAATCGAGAGCTGAGTTTTGGAGCCTAAAAAGATGAACATATTTTGAACATCTGTACATATAATCTTGCCATATGTTTTATGGCATATTGGGGCCAAAATCTGGGTCTCCTGGTTTCAAGTCTGATGTTCTCTATACTGTCCGCAATATTAATCATATTGAGGAAGATGTTGATTTTTAGTATAGTAAATCATGTTCAGCTCTAGAAGATTAAAATAATAAAATGCTTAAATAAGATTTTTAAATCTGTATGAGTTTGCCAGTGAATGAAATGTTTTCTAAACTCTTGTAATTAGATTGTCTCCCTTGTAATGCATTTATTATTCTATTTTACACTGGAGACCTAACGGGAATGCAATCATAGAGTCTTTATTATAAGCAGTGATTTTTACCAGAGAGCCTCATACATGATTCCTGTCTGTGAATACAATACCGTATCTGGTGAGTGGATTTGTCACTCTTCTCAGGTGGAGTTTATATATGACAACAGAGAAAGACCCCTTAGCAATTGCATGATAGACAGCTGTATTTATACTTCTTTTCCCTGACAGCCTCCCTCCCACTATGATGGGATTTTTTTTTGTTTAGATTTTTAAAATACATGTTCTATTAATTCTTTTGCATTTGTGTCTTTTAAATCTAGAAAGAAGAAAGATATTGAATAAATAATAAATAAGAATATACTCACAGGGGGGGTATACCCTTCATCTTGAGTCTAGTCTGAGGCTGTGCTACTGTTGTAATATTAAAGAGTTTGAAACTTTTGTTTTTAAGTTTAATACATTTTATTTAACTATATTAACTAATTGCTTAGTTGATTATAGGCTAAAGATTTTTAATGATGAGCTTTTGTAATAGAGGTAAAAGCAAGATCTCAATCACTAATATGTTAATTCTTCATAGCTTTCATTTTTCTGACATAAACATCTTCACAATAAGTTGAGCCTCTTCCTTTTTGAATATTACCAGTAAGAGTCAAGTGTAATTGTATTTGAGGTTGTTGATACTTAAACATTTAATGCTTATTCAACAAGCACTTTGACTGATCTTTTAAAAATCAAACATCGTTAGAAACATACCTATATCTTAAATTGATCATTTGCTTTAAAATTGCTGAAGTATTCAATTTACAAATGATATTTTCAAACCATAATTTTTAGAGATACTGTTGTTATTTTTTAACATAATTTCTTTCCTGAACTTTTCTGTTACTTTCAGGTCAGCAATTTTTAGTTACTTATCTTTATAGGTATAGTTATAAGTGTCACATTTGGAGTTCAACTTCAAACTTTGTCAGCATATTGAAGTTTAAATGACTTGCCAAGCTTGTTAATACGAGAAAGTCTATGTAAGTTGATCTCCACATGGGGGAGTCATTTATTCCTGTTTTATTGGAAGGCTTTGATAATTAAAGAGTGAAACCAAATAGATGAAAATACCTTTGTTTAAGAAGGAATACATTAAATAAATACAAGTAATGTAGACAGAAGAATATATCAGTTCCACATTTGAAATATGCTCTTTTGAATTTAATTTTGTATCTGTCAGTCATTTGTTTTAAAATCTAGAGGGGGGAAAAAAAACCCTGAAAAGCCTTAGTTTCACTTTTGAAAATGACTGAATTACCAGGACCTGAAATTTACATTTAAATAGTATTTTCATCTTTTTTTTTTCAGTTTTACTTCCACTTTTTCATTTTTACTTTTACTTTTTTATTCTTGACCAAAAGTCTGAATCCTAGAAGCATAAAATTTAAGTTAGAAGTGACTTTTTTTGGGGTTAGATCTTCAGTTCTCTCTCTCAGAGCTAAAGAGTAGGCTCCCTGGGTTTTAAATGTTAACAACACTTTTAGAATATAATCATAAAGTCCATTCAGGCTGCAAGGGGCAAACACTGGGGTGGGGGGGGCTGAGACAGGGTGTCGGGCAGCACCAGTGGGATTCTGGAGGGGAAGCGGGGGGTCCTCAGGTGGGAGCAGGGAGGAGAGAAGGGTCTTCGTTTACGTCGCAGAGTAAATGAACAGAGGAAGACGGGGGCCGGGGAGGTAGACGGGGGCCAAGTTCTGACACACTCGGCATCCACACTTAGGAATTCGAAGATCATTCTGGGCTGGGGAGGTGATGGCGGATGTTCCAGAGGGGAGTTTCGTGAACGGATTTCTGCGTAAAGAAAGAAACACATTGAGCTTGCAGTTGGCAGAACAGAGTGAACTGGGGCAGCGCTGGGGGCCCAGGGCACTGGGAGGTGTCGGGAGCTTGCAGGAGGGGTGTTCTAAGTTAGTGGCCCTGAGGGTGGAGGAACTGAGGCAGCTTCTGAGGATCTAGAAACGTACAGAGCTTGGTAGTTCATTGTCTGGGAAGGTGGGAAATAAGGGCTTAAGGGTCTGCCCTTGTGTGGCCCGTCCCGGAGCGGCTGGCGGTGCTGCACCCTCCTGTTGGTCACGCTCATCAGGTCGGCTCTGTTGGCTGGGGATAAAGACAGCAGGTACCTGTCCCGTACTTGGCGTATATCTATTTGAGATGTGTTCTCAGTGCATTTCTCATTTACTAAACAGCCTTTTGATGTATTTATTTCTATTCAGTGTAGAAAGAGCTTTAATATTAAAAGCATCTGACATTTATTAGGTGCTTTTGATGTGCTTGTGTACTGTTCATAGTATAAGAACACATAGCTTTATGTGTATTATACTTACACAGTCCCGTGAAGGGTGGCTATTCCATTCTGCAGGAAAGGAACCTCAAGCCTAAAAGGGTCAAGTGGCTTGTTTCCAGCCCTCCAAGTGGTGGAGCTAGGATTCGCGTTCAGGTAGCCTGTAAGTTTCATGCCTCAGCTTGTAATTCGGACACTATTTCTTTAGAAGTTAAATAACTGCCTCAGGCCTCAAAATTAGGAACTGGTGGACACTTTAAATTGGGGTCTGTATGACTGTGTGACGGCTGCGCCTCACTAAGGCAGTGAACATGACTGCGTAGCGAATACAGGTTTAGTGTGTTTTTCCCCACTTCGTTTTTACACGGTCAATACTTTATATTTTATTTTAGCTATTTCACTCGATTTATTTCACACACAAACACATTTGACACATGTACAAGAACAAAATACAGGTGTGTGAATATGGACAATTGACTTAAAGTGGACTCCTTATTTCTGTCTTAAGAGTATACCATGGCTTTTTGTTAATCTGAAAACAGGTCAGGTCTAAGTTTCTCCATATTGAGTGTGTGTGTGTGTATTATTAGATTAGATTTTCAGTTATCTTAGTGTCAACAAGGAGAACATACTTCTCCTTGCATTTTAGTTAGTATATTCTAAAATTTCACTTTAAAAATCACCAAGTATGTGAAATTGTAACCTAAAGAATTACTGTTTTCAGTGACTGAATTTATGTGAAGGAAACTGAAGTAATAGGATTTTTACTAGACCATCAATCTTTGTAACTAATTTGTGACCTTAAAAAATAAGAATGTACCGGGCAAGAAGAAATTATTGAAAAATGTTATGTTGTAAAAATATGTGTATCCCTTTTCTTCTATTTATTTCTACAAAAGGAACGTGGTATTTTTGGAGTTCTCAGTAGAGAAACTTTCAGTGACAACTCTTATATACCAGAACATTAATAATCAAGTGGGTAAACCAGGAAAGGAGCTTTTATTACCACATGATTTATATTCAAACAGTAAAATGAATTCTGCCAGTAATAATACTATTTAAACTGTTATTGCTAAAAATATAACTATTCCAAAGAGTTTTTACAATTGTGACAAAGTTTATCAGTCTACTTGGGGTTTGGTGGGGGAGAACACCTTGTTTTCACTATTAAAAGTTAACTTATTTAAGTAAACATGGTCTAATTAGATCTCTTTTAAGAAATAGTGGAAACATTTTCAAAAAGAAAAATGGCTTAAAAAAACGTGTCAGTACTGAACATTACCACCGCTGCTCATAAGATATAATTCAGGGTCAAAGCCTGCAAAGTAGTAAAAATTTTAGAGAAAATTTTTGAGGAGTGTTATCATTCATTCCACACCTTCAAAAAACTAGATTATTAAAACAAAAATGTTTGTCTAACTAGACATGTAATTTAATGGGACCATAATGAAAGTTGAGCCTCCTCAATCTTAGTGTTTTACTTTTTTTCCTGTGCACTTAATTTTTGCTTACCTATGTCACATCAGTTGCCAGGCTTAGTGGTTGAGCTGGAAAAAAAGTTGCTAAGGCTCCTTATTGTTGTTTTTATCTCTATGCTGAGACTTTCTAAGTTGAAACTTTATGTAACTTTCACCAGTACAAGTACTAACTCAGAATTCTCTAATGTGGTTAATTTTCCACTTTAATTCTGCGGCATTTAGTAGTCTTTTATGTCTCCAAAGAATTGACAGCAAAACTCCTAGGACATGCCATTTGTTGGGGGTAAAATAATCTCCACCCTCAGGTTACATAATTTCTTTTAATACCTTAGAACAAAGTGAGATATCAGCCTTGGTTTATATTTAATGTTTAATTATACAACTCTTTATGCCAGTGTTTTGTGGACTGATTGTCATCTAGCTGCCCACTGTTTCCTTAAAGTATGTAAGATATTTGAGGTAGTTATGCAAGGTTCTAAAGAATGGGGGTGAGTCACTTGAATGCCTTAATAGGAAATAGAAATGCAGCCAGTGTATTTGTGCATGGTAGGAACAGTCCAAATGTTAGTGTGTAATTATAGTGACTGTTCATTGTAATAATTGTATCATCGAGGAAATGTCAATTTATGTTATTTTGTTTTGAGCACGAGCTATTTCAGGAAGCAGGGAAACATTTAAGAAGCAGTTGAATTTAGAGTTTTCCTGTTCAACAGTCATCTTGCAAATATCTGGAAAACTCTTACTTTACTATTAATTAGCTCAGAAGGATTTGTGATAGCTAGGATTTTATTATTTTACTGAAAAATAATTTAAACCAAGATCCATCCACATTTATTCAAATAACTCACTGTGGAATGTGGTATCTAAAGGAGCTGATTTTCACAAATTGATAATCAAATAACCACAAATTGATAATCAAATAACCATATCTTCAGTAAAATATATGGAAATAAATGTGGAAAATAATTATTATTTGAAGGACTAGAGAAGGAAACATGTGAGGAAAGATTAGTATACTTGTGAAAACTCATTTTAAAAATAGAATATATGAGGAAATAAAATTAATTGATAAAAAGAATGTATACCATTCTGATAAATGTGGACTGCTATGACAAAATAGGTAAAGTATACTTGAGCTACTTACTAATCTTTGACTTTCACATTTGATAATTTGTTAAGGTCTTGAACAAAGATTATTGAATAGTACCTTAAGATTATAAAAGCAAAACATTTGGGGACAGAGCTTTTCTTGTTAAGGGAAGATAGGGTCTCATATAGCACCTGAAACATAATTAACGAATGAATGGAGCAAAAAAATTGTAGTGTTTTTGGTTTGAGTAAACAATTGTAGTTACGGCAGACATACATTAAACAGTGATCATGTGCTAGTGGCGAAATCACTGCTGGCTATAAGTTGGAAGTGTGTTAGACATATTTCTTGGATTGGACCCTGAAAATTTAGTTTACGTTTCTGTTTGATGGTTTGGTACACATTTCTGTCTCTCTCTCTCCAGTAACTACTTGTGTATAACTTGCAGTAACTAACTAATTCCTTTCTAGTAGAGAAGAATCTTGGGTTGGTGGGAGTGGTGTTTGGGAGTGGGGGTAGATGGGCAGGGATGGCAGCTTCCCTCTGCCAGGTCGCGCAAGGAGCCGTGTGGGGCGTGGGGAGAACCGTGGCAGGCCACGATGACGCTTCCGTAGCTCTGAGTTGTATGGAGAATTCACAGCGCCTGGTCATACCTAGCGTGCTGGCTCAGTGCTTGCGGTCTATCTTCTGTGGGGTGGGGGACGCAGAGCATCAGATTAGTGCCGCCCAAAATGAAGAGGCCTAAAACAGACTTTCTCCCTTCTGTGCCTAGAGCATTCATTCCTGGGAAGGGAAAACTATTTACAGGGTATTGCTTTTAAGTTACAAAGTTTCGCTTCGATGTATCTGTATAGATATGATAATTCATTCTGGTCTGAGCCAAAATAGATTTTTTTACTACCAGTTAAATTTTAAGTGACACTGTTTTCTATGATGATGATGATGTATTTTTTTAAAGTAGCTTATCTTAACTCAGAATCAAATTGGCTGTACTTAAGTGAGCCATTTTATCAAGTTATAATTATGCATTACATGAGGTTGTTGAGCCACTTTTTAGGACCTGGGGATGCATACTGGTAAACGACACAGCCCCTGCCTGCGGAGACTACCTACCTACATTCTAATTAGACGTTTCAGTCAGAGACACCAGGAAGTATAAAAGACACTGAGGCCTGAACGAGCTTGTGTTCCAAGAACAGAGAGGGGGACCAAGGGGGAGAGTGGAAGGACATGAGATGAGAGAGCCGGGCAGAAGAGGCTAGATCATTTAGGGCCCTAGAGACTAGGGAAGGAGTTCACGGGGACGTCACCGTGGGGTTTTGAGCAGGAGTTATGTGGTCAGAATGATATATAAAATTATACATAAAAAATACTTCTTTCAAAAAAAAAATGACTGGTGTGGAAAAGCAGTGCACAGGCAAAATGGATCCGGGTGCAGGATGCTGCAGGGATGGAGGTGAGAGGTGCCGACAGCCCAGCCCAGGGCGCTGCAGTGGATGGAGGCGGCGAGACAAGGTCTGGCGGGGAACGCTCTCCGGCCTGGTGCCGGGTGGGGGAGGAATCACGAGTATTCATTCCTAGGATTTTGGCCTAAATACCTTAGTGAGTGGCAATTTCTGGTTCGTTGAGATTTATGAATATCAGTGCCAAATTAATGCTAAACCTTTACCTCTTAAACAAGAGACGATCATATTGGTATTATCTTAAGTATGTGAAATTAAAAAAAAAATCATCACCAAAACTTTCTTTTTGTAGGCGGAGTATGTTCAGCTTGTCACCGAGCTTCGAATGACGAGGGCCATTCAGCCTCAGATCAATGCTTTTCTACAAGGCTTTCATACGTTCATCCCTCCTTCCCTCATACAACTTTTTGATGAGTATGAATTGGTAAGGGAAAAACATTTCTTTCGTTGTTACACAACACAAAACTCCAGTTGATGTAATTCACACCTAATTTTGGAGTGCTACGATGAAGGCAACGATGTATACTAAGACATCATAGTTTAGCATTCATGTTTAGAGATTTGTTACAAGATTTATGACTATGCTTCTCTAAGCTTAATAAGAAGATTAGCAATTCCTTAACGTGAAATGGGGTGAGGTGGTAATAAAAAAAATGCAGTATAATATTTCCAAAATGTTCTACATGAGAGATGCTGATGGCCAGCAGTCTTACTGAAAGCAGTATTCATAGTATTTGGCCATATGATGTAAAGGATACTGATACTAACGTCTTGTATTTCCAAAAAGAAGAATAGAAAAGAGCATTTTTCTTGTTTTATTTGTTTAATTTTCTCAATTCTTACTTCATCATACATATAATTTTATAATTTTCCATTTTAATTCCATGTGGAGCCCCCTCTCATTGCTCACCTGACGTTGCTAATGGATGTTCTGTTTTGCTTCTTTGATCTGACTGCGTATTACTGTGGCCTAACAGGATTTCTGATTGTATATGACTTATGTGTGCATTTCACATCATAGTCTTCTATTTTATTTTTGGTAATAAATTACTTCCAAACTCTTTGAGTAGTAGTCTACCTTTTTAATAAACACAGAATCTTAAATAGAGGATAGCTACAGGGAGGTAGGTGGGCAAAACAAAATAAAAGAGGCTGGTTGCTTTCTTATTTAAAAAATTATCATTTAGAATAGTAAATTTTAGATCAATGGAAAAGCATCCTTTGGTTTGTATTCTGTCTCATTAAGTAGCTCTGCCCACTTTACCCTTCACCACATGCGCTGACGCACTGATGTGCGCCTTTAGGGTCACACGTCTACCAGTGCTTTCAGTTTATCATTCAGGGCTTATTATCTTGTATAGTAGTGGACAAAATTTGCTAATTAATTTTGAAGTCCACTGTGACTTAGTTTCATTAAATACCAGTTTTGGGTTTTTTTGTTGTGTTTTTAGGTTTAAGAGTAGTGGTTTTGTTTAGCATAGACTTGTCTAGTTTTTGCATCACCATTAGTTAGTTAGTGTATTTTTAGCATTTTTTTAAAAATGGAGGAGTACTTCTCAACTGTTGGTAGGCGTGGCAGAAATCCGACTTTTCCTATCCTATACGAGTATTGAATAACTCTTTTGAAATTCAAAGCAGAGAATTACATTATTTTCTGTACCTGTGTATAAAAACCAAATAACATAAATAATTGACAGACTCTTTGCCTCAGGACTTATAGGTACTGCTAAGTTTTTTGCAACTTTTTATTAATTGTAGGAGAGAAAAGTACATGAATTATTAATGTATAGCTTGATGAATTTTCACGAACTAAATATCCCCATGAAACCAGCACCCCAATCAATAAACAGAAATCCTGCACCCAGTGTCCCTCTCGTCCTCTTCCAGTCACTGTCCCTCCAGGTGGGAAACCTCCCTCCCAATCCCTCATCTCATAGGTCAGGTCGCCTGCTTTTGAACTTGATGTAAGTGGAATAATAACCTAGAACACGTCTGACTTCTTTAGCTGGGTTTTCTGTTTGTGAGAATCATACATGTTGTTGCCTGTAGTTGTCATTTGTTCATTTTCATGCTGTGTGGTATGTCAGTGGTGTTTCACGTGTGTGTGTGTGTTTGGCTTTTCCACTCTTGATGAACATCAGGCGGACACTTTTCAGTCTTGAGCTGTTTGAGAGGCTGCTACAAACAGGCTGGCACGTGTCTCTAGAACACACGGATGCATTCTGCACGTTACATTCCTTGGGTTGGAATTGCTGGGTGTAGGGTACATGTTTTGCTGTTACTCTGGGCACCAGCAAACAGCAAACAGTGTTTCAAAGTGGTGTGTCAGCTTACACCGCCCGCAGCAGGTCTGAGGGTTCAGGGTGTCCCGTCCTCACCAGCGTTTGGTGGTTTTCTGTTTTCCTTTTCATCATTCTTGTGGATTAGGAGTTGTCTTTCATTGTGATTCTGATTTGCGCTTCCCTGATGACTGATGACTGATGAAGCCGAGTGTGTTTATATGTTTATCGGCCACTTGTGGACTGTAGTTTTGAAGTGTTTTTGTTCAGGTAATTTGTCCATTTTCTCTTGTTTCCTGTAATTTTTGTTGTTGCTGATCTGGAGGGTTCCTTATGTATTCCTCACAGGAGTCTTTTTCAGGGAGATAGATGTCTTGTGATTACCTTCTCCTACCCTGGTGTCTTTTAGTGAATAAAAATTTTTAGTTTTAACACAGTTTGGTTTGTCACTTGTTTTTTCCTTTCTTTTTTAATGGATGGAGCTTTTTTGTGCCCTTTTAAGAAACTGTTCCTTATTCCAAGGTCATGGAGGTATTTTCCTATGCTTTATCCTAAAATCTTTATTCCTTTGTCATTCATAGTTAAGTCTGCTACTGGTAAGTATTTAATTGTGGTTCTTATATTAGCACTTAGGTCAGGGTTCCTACTCCGTCTCACACTCTGGCCGACTCAAACTGTGGAGCAGTGTTTTAGGCATGACGCTAATTGATGTAGTGATGACAATTACTATTACTAAACATGCAGTATTGCTCTACATATATTAACTTTTAAAATCTTCGCCATAGACCTTTGAGGTAAATTTTATTGTTACTGTTTTACAGACAAGGAAAACTAGGCCGAGGAAGGTGCAGAACTTGCTCCTGTTCATGGAGAATGAGTCAGAGGCGCTCTGTGAGCCCTGGGCCCAGCCTCTCTCTCTCTCCATCAATTTTGCCAAACGGCCTCTCAGAGCATGAGTTCTAACTGGGACTGGGATTTAGAATATTTTGTGTGACTTTATGTCTTTCATAGAAAAGGCTGTGTGTGCTCCACGGAGATAGAGAACCTTTATGAAAAAGTTGGTACAAACCTCCAAGTTAGATGTGCATCTGAGTTAAAGGATGCAGGTTAGATTCTAGAGTTTTAGTGGCAAGAAGGTGTCTTGTGGCGTCAGTGTCCTGAGTGGGAGCTGTACTCATCCACTGTGGACAGGACGCAGTCCCAAGTCAGGAGGTGATGGTCAGGTTCAAAATGGTGACAACACTGTTGTCATTAATATGTCTGGAATACTCTTACATTACTCTTTCCTGAGGGGTGCCTGCCAAATGTCTGAGGGATGGTGCTTCCATACTGTGCTTTTATGAATTTTCCAGTATGAATTTGAGCCATGTGAATACTAGGTAAGTTGATGGCTATGAATATTCGTGTAACTCAGTTTCTCCCCATTAGTACGAGATATGTGTGTTATACCCATTTCCAACAGACTAATTCAGTTATTTTGTTATGTTTAAAAATAATAAATTATTAATTGGGGTTAAATCTTTTTATTATATGTACTTTTTAATATGGAATCCACATTTCATCTACATGTTTTTCCATCAATTTAATAACACTTCTTTGCCTAGGAGTTAAATTGCCTAATAAAGACCTTTCATCCCATATATTTCATAATATATTATAGTCATGAAATGCTTCCAGTTTCTTGAGAGTATAGGGTATCGTTTTTCTCCATAATTATTAACAATAAAAGCATGCTTAATATTATTAAAAGCTTAACCACATCCTAGAAGAAAAGAGGATTAAACTCATGGATTTAAGAAACATAAAATTCTTTCCTACTCCCTTTTGGCAGATTTGTATTAGGGTCCTGAGAAGAAACAGAATTTCCTCAGATGGCTCAAATAAGGAAACTTTAACAAAAAGACTATCAGAGGAGGTGTGGGCAGTGTAAAGAATAAGCGAGGTGCGGGGACGCGTTAAGAGACTGGCGTCAGTGGAGAACCTTTGTTGCCTCTAGAACTGAAGAGATGGGTGGAGGGGTTCTGGTGATCCCCTCTCATCTGTGGGCAACACAGTCCAGGGCCCAGTGGAAGCCTGAAACCGCAGATAGTACCAGACCCTATATACACTGTGTTTTTTCCTGTACATACAGACCTATGATAAAAGTTCAGTTTATAAATTAGGCACAGTAGGGGTTAACAGCAATAATAATGAACTGCAAAAATTATAACACCAGATTGTAGTAAGAATTGTGCACTCATAATTATCAGAATTATCTCAGAATATCTTACTGTACTAACCCTTCTTAATGATGATGTGAGATAAATGGCCACATGGTGGGATGAAGTGGGATGAGAGATGTGGGCGCTGGGATACAGCGCTGGGCTCTCAGCGACCCAACCACGCATCAGGAGGGTTGCCTGCTTCCACACGGTGGGTGGTGGCAGGCAACTGGAACCATGGAGGATGAAACCACCGAAAAGGGGCTCCTGCATCGTGAGGACCCTCTGAGATTCTGGGCCACCACCGGAGGGCTGCCTGGTGGCAGCTACAGTTGAGGAGATACGGCTTTTGCAGAAATGTGTTTAAGCTAGGAGGGAGCCAAAAGTTCCCTCACCTCCAGGCTCCTGCCTGTTTCCTGGTGGTGGAACCCAACCTGAGACTGGCAGGCAAGAGAGCCGGTCTTCAGGGCTGGCCTTCGGGGGCACAGAGCTGTGCAGAGAGGTAGAAATGTATTTGCGGGCAGTAAATGGAGCTAAGCAGAATGTCTTCATCTAGTAAGACTACTTTATAACATGGTGCATGGTGGAAAGGAAGACAAATACACTGTAGGCTAGCAGTTCTCAGACTTTTCTGGTTTCAGGACCCCCCCCCCCCCTTATAACAAAAGATTTTTGTGTAGGTTATGTTAACTAATAGTTATGTAAAATATTTCAGTAATTCATATAAAAATAACAGTCCATTACATATTAACATAGATAACATTTTTTATAAGAAAACTGCATTTTTCAGAATAAAAAGCAGTGGAAAGAGTGGCATTGTTGTACGTTTTGTAAGTGTCTGGCTTAATAGAAGACAGTTGGGCTCTCATGTTTGCTCCTGTGTATGACCGGCTGTGGTGTGTTGTTTGGCTGAACTGTGTAGAGAAAATTCAGCCTGCCTCAGATAAACTGGAAAACGGAGAACTTTGCAGACTCTTTGAATACATCTCAGAAACCCCAAGAGTTCTCAGGCAGTGCCTTATATTAACCTTCACTAACCTGCAGAGCACACTTCATACTAGTTGAGCATGTGTCATGGACAGTTGCTGTAGGAGACATGACTTTGAACCACATCGTATCCGTGTTCTGGCTTGTCAGTGTTTATGTAAGTGGAGGCCAGTCATTGCTTTACGTACCTGAGCACATGCAGCAGTGAGCTAATGGACTGATCTGAGAGATGGGGACAAGCTCTTGTTAGAGTCTCTTTTTTCTTAGGGTACATAATGCTAGGTACTTAATTTCATACTTACTTGTTTTATTTGATATTTTGTTGTTTGATAATCTTTGTAGAAAAAAAGAAGGCCACCAAAAGTCATTAGGAAACTTGCATTTTTGTCTTACCTTGGAAAAGTTGACTTTAAAGGACCTGAATTATTCGAGAACAGAGTTTTGCAAAGGCCTAAATCTTTTTTTTAAAAAATAAAAAGTATTTTTATTATATTACGTACTCTTTCCAAGTGATTAGGGTTCCTTGATGATTTTCTCCTTTGCCTAACCTTGGATTTATTCAGGTCTTTGTTGTCCATGTTGAGAGTATGTTCTCTTTTATAGAAATTAACAAATTCATAAAATAAAAGTAAAACCAAAGTAAATATTCATAAAATAAAAGTAAACCAAAGATAGTATTCATAAAATCGTTGCATATCAAAGCTGTTTGTTGCATATATATTTATGTATAAACAAAAACTCTGATCTCTTCTTCTGTTTTAATTCAATGTGGAGACACCTCCAGATCTCAGAATATTTGAGATGATCAGTATCAAGAGCTCTTTCCCATGTAGTGCTTATGATTTGATGACATGCAGAAACTGTCGCAAAAATCAGGTTTACATTGGATTAGTTTGTAATTAAGGCAAATTTACTATTTAAATGCAATAAGCTCTTTTTCCCCAATGAAGATTAATGAAATATTTTTCTTCTTCCCCAAAGGAGCTACTGCTTTCTGGCATGCCAGAAATTGATGTGAGTGATTGGATAAAAAATACAGAATACACAAGTGGCTATGAAAGAGAAGATCCGGTTATTCAGGTAGTATCTCTCTAGAGCTTAGAATGAAGTTGAGTTTTGCCATTTAATTTTGCAAGCTTTTAAGCATATTGGATGAAAACCTACATTAATTAACAAAGTAAAGTTTCTCCCTAAATTCTTCTCATGGGAATATTGCATATGAAAGCTTTGTATGAAAACATTTCTGATAAATGAATTTCACAGAATAAAATATGCTTTATGAATGTTGCATATTTCTCTGCTATTAGGAAGTCTGCAATTGCTCAGAAATACAAGCACATTTTTTGTTGATGTTTTTGTTAGTGGTTCTGGGAAGTTGTGGAAGGCATTACTCCAGAGGAGAGAGTTCTTCTCCTGCAGTTTGTTACTGGCAGGTAAGAAGCATTTATATGATAATGTGGAAAAACTTTAATGTATTCCATCTTTATAAGAAAAACAACCAAATGAATTAACTACTATGAATTTTCAGTTTCTTACCTCCCTTTCCACTTTTTTAGGTATTAAGCGAAAGTTTATTTAGGGATTAAAGAGAAAACATATAATAGTGGTCATAAGAGTTTATTTAGTGTATAAAAAAATTAACTGTTCTAATGAGGACTATTGGCATGTATATTGCATTTTATAATTTGGTAATCTTTTCACTCTGCAGGTAAGTCAGTGATAGTAGCCAAATATTTCATATTTGTATGTTGCTGGACAACACATACAACACAATAATTAATATTCATATCCAATAATTTTTCTCCATTTCTTATCAAACATTAAAGTCTCAAGATTCAAGCCTAAAAAATAATTTGTGATATGCTTTGACAAGTCTACTTTTGGAACAGATATTAGAAAACTAGATGGTTTTAAACTTAACTTGTTAAAAAAGAGTCTGATTTTCATTCTTGATAACTTAGAATTTCATATGTGTCCTTCTGTTTGTGGAAATAAGTTCACTTGTTGCATTATAAATGTACGTTATTCTTCCAGAAAAGTTGGAACATACAGAAAATTAGAAGAAATAAAAAAAACACCCCCTGCTAGCAATAACCGCTATAAGCAGTTTGATGTATTTACTTCTATTTTCTCTGCCTATTTAAAAAATATAATTGTGAGTGTATATCTATATAAAAAATATATATGTAATTTAAAGTCCCCTATTTTCTTATTTGAAAGGTAATACATTAACCATTATAGAAAATTTGGAAAGTGGAGAAACTAGACAGAAGAAAATGGAAATCCCATTAAGTAATTCCATTGTTGAGAGAGAACACTATTAATGTTTTGCTTTATTTTCTTAGTCTTTTAACTGTGGAATTAGGAAAATAGTTGGAGCCACACTAGACACTGAATTTTAAAGAATGAATAAAACATGAATATTCACATATTGTAGACTAAAGATATGAAAAAAAATTTGTTGTTAGTGTGGCTTGTTTGGCTCCTTAAGGCCAAGAAATACCCACAGGTTTCAGGAATTTAATAAAAAGAATGAAACAAGATTTATTTTTTCGATGTAAGAAGGTTAGGCAATTCAAATAAATCACCTCTAAATCTCTGAAGATCATCACAGTTAACATTTTGGCTATTATTCTAGAATTTTTCCTGCATAGATTTTTACTTTTTGCCAACATGGTTCCTTTTATAACTTTAGAACTTAGCCATATATCTTAAAACATCCCATTTCAATGTAGTTTTTTAATGCCGGCACTTCCTCAGTTTTTAGACCTTAGCTGATACTGTCCTTTTTTGCTCAATTTTTCCATTTATGAATAATGCTGAACAAGTAAGGAATTCTTATGCTAATATATTTGTGGGCCAATTAGATTATTTATATAGGATAAACTCTTAGAAGGGAAATTTTTGCATACAAAAGTTTATAAATTTTACAGCCTTGATACATAATGTTCATTTACCCTTCAGAAAGGTATCAGTGTTCTCTTCAGCAGGGAATGAGAGAGCCTGTTCCTTTTATTTTATCAATACAGGATGTAATCATTTTATTTTCATATAATTTCTTATTTATGTAATTTCTTATGTGGGGTGAATTGCCTATTTTTTTGTGCATTACGGATATATTCAAAAATTCAGTTTTAAACATTCTTTATATGGGACATTAACTCTGCAAATACTTTTCCCAGTATATCATTTGTCTTTTAACTTCATTATGTTAATTTATACATATTTCATATAATTTAAATTATAAATTTAATTTATAAAATGTAGAGTTTTAAACTATGTTGCAAGTTAATTATCAGTACTTTCCTTTATGGTTTTTATTAATCCTTTCTTATTCCCAAGATTTTGCATATATGGGTTTTTTGGTACTTTTTCTGTGACTTTTTATTCCTATTTTTACATTCTGATTTTTAAGCCATCTGGACTTCATTTTGGTCTATGTAGTGACGTGTAGGGTTCTTCTGTTGTTTTTTAATAGTTTATAATTAAACACCATTTAGTGAATTACTATATTTGCTCCTGTAATTTGGTCAGTATGAGTCTTTAAAATGCAGGAAACAATTACTCAAGTTTTCTTTGGCATTAAAAATGTCTGTTAAATTGCTCTCATAGAATAAAAAACAGTTGTATTAGGAATACATAGTGCCCTCCCCCTGCCAACAGTGTAGTCGTTTCTAGCAATGCCGGAAAGAACTGCACTGTTTATTATTTAACAGGTCATGAAGTGTGGCATGTGAGTCCATTTAAAGGAGGTAAAGGATGTGGGTGGAAAGAGTAGAAGCCCAGGAACCTGGGGGAAACCACAGACCTAGAGCCTCAACTTGAGGTTGTGAAGAAGCCACTTTTCAACACGTAGTCTGCAGAGCCCTTGCTTTGAATTCAAACCAAGTCTTGAGTCCTTTCAAACTTTAACTTTCCTCTTACTTTAGATCCTCCAGGCATTATCAGCGTAGGAATAGCACTTGCCATTCTAAACCTAAAGTGTGTACTTTTTTCCTTAGCCCTTCTGGGAAAATTCGGATTATCTTCTTTGTTTATAGATACTAACATATCTTCCTCCATTTCTAAAGTATGATTTAGTTCAATTTTACTGAAAAGTCAAATATGTTACAATGGTAGAAGCAAGAATTAATACAAAAAAGTAATTTTTAAATATTTTTATGGGGGAGACAATGCTTTGTTGTCTATAGACAGTATTTTGTCTATAAAACTGTCTTAAGTGTCTTACTCTTTGTTTCGTTGCCTCTTAAGAATAGTGAAAATCAGACTTGATTTCTTTGCATTTAAAATGAAAGTATGTCAAAAATAAACAAACAAAATTCAAATAGATTCAAACACAGAGAATGGACTGGTGGTTGCCATGGAGGTGGTACAGGATAGGTGAAGTAGGTGAAGGGGAATATAATAAAATGAAAAAAACTCAGAGGTATGTCGTTTTAATTAATTGCAGTTTTTAACTGTGTAATCCTTCTGCCATAATACTCGTCTCCAGACCATTTCATTTATTTTTCTCATACATGCTTAAGCTTGATGAGCCATGATGTTACCATAAGATGCGCCGATCATTCAAGTATGGGGTCTCGTCATACTTGTGTTACAGTTCAGAAGAGGAGTAAGGTTTCAGGGATTGTTTGTAAATAATCAGTTTACAGAATAATTTCATTTAGATGTTAAAATTGGGGGATCTCATTTTTTCTAGTGCTGCTTGTGCATTGGGTTAGGTTTCCTGAGGTCTCATTATGCTGGGCTATGTTAAAAAATTTTTTAATTTGGTATTCTGAATCTCTGGAAAGAAATGTGAATAATTCTCTAGTTTTCACACTGAAAAACAAAACAAAATCCCTTTGGCCCTAGATATTTTTCAAACAGGGAAATCATTTGGATTATATGAGTTAACCAAACATTAATTTAATGAATGTTTACTAGATGTAAGTCATTTTGCTAATCCCAGGAATACAAATACAAATATGGCTTACATGGGCCCCTCATATCAGCCTCAGTTTAGTAGGGAGATGCGTGAAAGAAGATAGTTGTACATGCAGTGTGCTAAATGCAGTCGTAGAGGTATTGTGCTGTGGCCAATCAGACGTGTGGTATGGCTTACAGGCATGTAGAGGCCTCTCCATGGAAGTTTGCTGATTGTCGACAGTGCAGTTTTTAGTAATTAGGCGAAATTTTGCAGATTCAAAAACATTGTCTTGTCAGCGGCCTAGAGTCGAATGTATTTTTTACCCTAACTCAGAATTTGAAATACAGCAGTCACAAAAATTTTCCTTTCATGATTACAACTTACTAAGATACGAATTTGCAGTTCCAGGGTCCCACATGGTGGATTTGCTAATATCATGGGTGGAAGTGGATTGCAAAACTTTACAATCGCTGCTGTGCCATATACTCCAAGTCTTCTGCCGACTTCAAGCACATGGTATGTTATTTACATTGGTTTATTTGAATGCACTGTGAATTGCTTTGATTAATTTTGAATAATGAAAGGTCTGACTACTGTATTGCTGCATTGAGAGGAAAGCCTCAGCAGTGATCTATCAGCATTTTGGAATCACTGATAAGTACTTGCTCCTTTTTTGGCAGGGAAAATGTATGGGGAAACTACTTATAATTGAATTGAAAATAGTTCAGGTATCACTAACGTTACCCTGGCGTAAGTATCACTGAGTTACACCAGTACTTCAAACCGAATTCCCTATTACTTATTTATTTTAGGCTGAAAGGAACTTATTTTTTTCCATTTACATTTGCATGCTAAAGGAAACTGCAATGCAGCAGGTTTTTTTTTTCTTTTTAACTACTATTTCAGGGTTTTCCAATTTGAATGCAAATTAAGGGGTGGTTTTATGTTAATTTTGAGTAGTGTTTTCACTGCTAGACAAAACAATAAAAAATTTCATACATCTCCCATTTAATGTGGCATATTTTTCTTTTAAAGCATCAACATGCTCAAGTTACCTGAATACCCAAGTAAAGAAATACTCAAGGACAGACTTCTTGTGGCACTACATTGTGGCAGCTATGGTTACACAATGGCATAGCCAGCCTGGAAAACCCATCTGACTACTGATGCGCAATTCAGAGTGGCAGAAATTGTTTAGGAAACTGTCAGCAGAAAAGCAGCCTAAATGCAGCCCGTAAGCAGGGCTGATGCTTAAAATTCATAAAGGATCAGGGCTTCTTTTTTTCCTCCCTGTCTTTTTTCCCTTTTATGTTTTCTCAGTTTGTGATACAATTAGAAAATATAAAATCACAGTAGTTTTTTCATTTTTAGAATGCTAACTGAAAGTAGTAGGAACTGTCCTTTTTCATATTACTTTAGTTGTATCCAAGATTGTGTTAAAACAAAATCTTATTCTGCATTCCCACCTCTGCTATGTAACTGTCTTGTTGAAAGTGTGTTTTCTCTTTATTTTCCTATATATTAAATTATATTAGGACATCCAGCCTGGTATGTTCTATAGCATGTAAAGTGCCATTTATATTTTGGAGAACTATTGTATAGAATGGATTAATTTGGATTGTGTATAAACCACAAATAAGGTATTTTCCATATTGAATCTATATTACAATGATGTTTTTTAGCTTTTTAATATTTTAATATACAATAAAAAGTTTAGACTGATGTGACTTACAAACAGCTGATGAAGTGACATCTAATTTATATATTAAAGCTTATGCTCTAGTGTATAAATTATTTGCAGTTTTCAGTCGTCAGTTTTCCATATATATACATATATATATATTGTGGTCTCAAGTGGTTTCTTATGCCTTATTTAAATTTTTACTTTAGGTAAATTTAAATGTATTTTACCATATTTCTTTTCATTACTTTTGTTCTATCTGTGAGCCCTAGCACATTTGAAAAAGTAATGTGATGTGTAGGTTACAATTTAAATATGTAATTTTTTATTTCTTAAATTTGCTTTCTGTGATTAAATATTGCATTTAAGTGATGTATGCCAAATACAGAGTGTGGGATTTTTAAATTTCAGGAGGGTCTTCTCAGTTTTCTTTTGAAAAGACACACTTCCCTTGGGTATTGACAGCGTACTTTTTAAGGGGAAGTAGGAACCACTCACACGTTGAGAAATGCTAACAGAGGAATTTGTGATGTTGAGGAAAACCTTACCTCTGGAAACTAAAAGTAGACTCTCCAGGGGAGTCGCTGTTGGCAGGGTGACGCCCATGCTGATTTCTCATATGAGCAGCTGGTGTATTTGTGACTGAAAAATACAGACAATGGATGTGTCAGTATAGACAAATGCATATTGTGTATCTGTGTATATAGACATATACATCGAAAGCTTTGCTCAGTTATGAATCTTCTTTAATACATGACTTTTAGTCCTTTTTTCTTATTGTGGGTTTTGTTTCTAATATTAAAACATTTCTCAACAGATTACTTTAAAAACTATGAATTCTTTAAAAATTACTATTAGCTCTAAAATTAAGATTCAGATGCTTTACTTGTAGTAAATGAAGCTAATGTTTAAAATCTTGGTTTTTGAAATTTAATTGTAGAAATCATTATCTTCTGTGTTTTCAAATAAGTGACTGGCTTTACTATTATTACATTGCTTATAATTTGGATGTTTACAGACATATTTCTGTTTATAATTATGTACTACATTGGTTTTGTCAGTTGGTCCTTTTGCAAGTAATTTATGTGGAAGAGATAATAAAACATTAAAAATCTCATGGTATTTTATCCATTAATTTGAATATTTTTTGATATAGATCAAGCAGTTTCAGGGTTTATTCTTTTATATTGTCTTTATTTTTTTAGCTATAAGAATGTAGTTAATATAGAAAGATTTTATATGGATTAAATGACATTAAAAAATACCATTTAAACTAGAAGGTGGCAAGTCTTTTTAATTTATCCCCACAGTTCCTTCTATATCTACAGGGACATGCTGAATGTGAGGTAGAATGGAAAAATGGTTTTCTACCCATTTGGGCCAAAGAAGATTACACAATAAGAAAATGACTCAACTCTTAAAACACGTGGGGGTTCCATGTGCACGAAAACAGAAACACTGAGGGCGTCAGAACAAGAGGCGGGGGAGCGTGCATAGGGACTGGCTCCCGAGAACATCTGGGCAAGAGGAGATCAGGTCATTCAAATAGACGGCTCGTGCCACCTGGTCAGTGAAATCCGCCTTCCTGCTCATCCTGGAAGAAGGTGCGATGTCACCCAGGGAGGCGCAGCAGGCTGAGCACCGCCTCCCACTGCGCAGCGGGCCTCAGCTGGGTGTGGAGGGGAAGTGAAAGCTTTGAAGCGCACGTCCCAAGCTGGAGGCCCAACCGGTGATTCCCACGTACACACGTATTTTGTTTGTCATGCAATTTAAATTTTAATGAGTTGCCAACATGAAAAAATCTGGAGATTTCATGCCGAAGTCCAGATTTTTGGCTTTTGAAAAATCAATCTAACCATGTTGGGCACAGGTTTCTAGAAGGCTTAGGGGACTGGGATTGAGTAGAAGCTGCCACTTTAAGTGACTGAGTGCGTTCTCCAGTTTGCCATTTTTTTACCCATTCCTGCTTCACTAATTTATGTTACTTTCCTAGTCATCAACAGCCCTGGAGTTTGCTTTAAAGAATCCATGTTGGTGAGAAATATTCCCTTGGAGTGTGAAGTGGTACATATTCTTTGGAAGGTAATTTGGCAATATCAAATTTTTAAAATGTACACATACTCTTTGACTCCTTTCTAAGAATTTATCTTATGGCTATATTCATGTACAAAAGATATTTTTATAAGAATGTTCACTGAAGGCTTGTTTGATACAGAAAAAAACTGGAAATAATTTAAGTGTTTATTAGTAAAGGGTTAGTAATAAATTGTGTTACAGCCATACAGTAGAATATTAATTAGTATTTACAAAGATTGAATGTATTTATACATACTGATACATAAGTATTTCTAATGTAAAGTGAGATAAGGTGTATAGAATAGTAATTAGTGTGTAAATACAATGTACATGGGGTTTATACTCAAGAAAATTTTCTGGGCCATAGATTACTGTTATATCTGGGAAAGCATTATAAGATGGAATGAAGCCTTTTGCACTACATAACCTTTTTTCTTGTTTGTGTTATTTTCTATGTGATATATGAAATATATATTAGAAGAAAACCTCCAGTATCTTTAATCAAGGGAAACAAGTATCAGTAATAGGTTGTATTGGGTCTGTGAAATGTCACTGCACAGGCGACAGCAGTATTTTCATAATCTCAAAACTTTTTATAGTGTGGTTAATTTAAAGTAAGTCTCATAATTAAACTCTTACAAAGTCAAAGAGAGGAATGCCCCCTTTTCAGTCAAGCTTTATATTTCCACATTGCCTGATAATTAGCACTGTTTATAGCTCTCTAAAAATCTACCAATGAGAGATTTATTTAAAGTGACAAGTGGTACTTATTTCATATGGGAAAATCTAGGAAGCATAGATTCATGTACTAAGTGGGAAAAAGCAATAAATGGTAATTCCACTACCCACGTCTTGTTTTTGCTGCTAGTCTTTTGCATTTTTCCCCCATATCTGAGTTCATAAAGAACATAGTATTTAGTATCTTTTTTATTTAATGAGCATTATATTTTAAACATTTCCAATATCATTACCACTTACTTGTAAACATTTTTTTAAATGGTGGCATAATATTCTGTTGTATGGATGTATCATAATTTGACCGTTTCTCTAAAATTTTTAACACTTAGATTTCTAATAGTTTTTTTTAAAAAAATAAATAACAGGTTGTTTCTTTCCACACTAGTTGTAGGCTAGGAGTGGCAGGATTTTCTGGGTTATTGTTGAAATGTCCACCAGTTGCTCCATGGTTGTAGAATTACCGTTTGGAGGCTCGAGGGAAGGTTGCTGGAATACAGAACGCTTTGGTGGGTTGGAGTGGATAGGATTGTTCCAGCAGCACGATTAGGGCTGCGTGCCGTACCAGAATATAAAAGGGTCACCAAGACGAGCAGAAAGGCATGACAGAGGTGACTTTAACAATTACTTCTAGTCTTCTCCCCAAGAACAGGAAACGCTTCTATGTGAACACTCCATTCACAGGAATACATGGTTGAACATGTTTTTTATCATTCATCTATATCAAGGATCACTTATGCTCTTAGGGATTAAACTAGAAACTCAGCCTCCATTTATAGAGTTTCCCAAAAATGTTCTTAAAAGCTTTCAGAGTGTAACCCTTTTGTCAAATGGAAAATGTATGTATAGCAGCCATCTCTATGAGTGGGTTCCAGCTAATATTAAAAACTTTGGTTATTTTCACCACAATTTAGGTGTATCAAAAGTATATCAATAGTCACAGTTTTTTTTTTATGTGAAACATGCTCCTCTGTTTCTGAGTATTTCCACAGATGTTGCAACAAAATTTACTTTCAAGGTTAACAATAGTAACAAAAAAAACAATTTAACAGTTTGGCTTAAGCTGTTTTAATGTGGGTGGGTTTCTGTTAGAATGTCCTTTGTGAAATTCTTAAGTCCTATTGGCCTGGTATAAGTTGGCACAAATTTATTTCATTTATAACCAGTCCCCTTGTTTTGCAGATGAGAAAATTGGAAGACCCGAGAGGTGATGGCTTGCTTAAGGTTTGGCTACTTCGCTAGAGTTTAGAGCCTAGATTTTTCTGGTTCTTAGTCCATGAGGTTTTCTTTTATTCCTTGCTGTCTCTTTGTGATATAATTGCATTATAAAAAGACTCTTTTAGAAAAACACCTGCAGCCTATTAACAGTCATGTAAGACAAGCCTGTGGGGAAACTATAACTTAATAAGCTGAGAGTTAAGAGTGATTAATAGGACTATATTTCTTCTCTCCCACTGTGTCACAATAAGCTAGGGTGAGTATTTTACCATCTCAAGATGAAAAAGAACAGATGTATTGTCAGATCATAGATCATGGGTAGTCATTAACTTTTATTATCTTTATAAAAATGTTCAATTTCAAGCATACTTGATGCTTGGAAATATGTTGTGCATCTACTGTTGCAAAACCATTAAAACCATAAACTGGGAATATGACAACTATTGCTATACACTTGTGTGAGTGAATGGAATCTGGCTGAGGGAAATGGAGGGGTAGTAGTCCTGGGTGGGGGCCTGGCAGTGGAGATGACGTTCCGGCAATTCAACAAATTCCCTTTAAATGTATTTAACACTGGTTTGAGGACTAGGGGATAAAATTCACTTGGGCAGATGGAAGGCATATTTGAGACAGGTTTTAAATCTGTGCAGTGTAGCCTATGATTAAGCATAAAAACCAGCTACAGAAATGTATACCAGGAAAAGAGGGGTTTAATGTAAACTGAGTGTCCACGGCAGCTTCAAGCACCCGGCCTAACTGAGTCACTACATTCCCCTCTTGGGTCTGCAGACGAATAAATTGATGAGCCTGTTGATTGAACAAACAACTGAAAAGGTTAAAAACAGGAACCTTCCAGTAAGGTAGGGTTAATGATGGAGGTCCCTGGGTTGTTCTCGAGTGTTCAATCGGTGACTTAACTAGCTTGCTCAGTTCTAGGTTCTGGTCACTCCTTGGGAATTCGGATCTGGTGCTTTTCATGATTTGAGACTTTTACCAACCATGTCCGCAGATGGCTTTACATTTTCCTCAGGACAGTGGCAATCTCAGATTGTTTTTGCAAGCTTATTGTAGGAATGGGGAGGCGTACTTAAAGTGACGTCTGTACAGTAGCTGTAAGTAGTATTAGACAATATTTCTCTTTTCCTAATATCTGGCAATAGAGAAAAAAGTAAAATTGATACCTTCCAAAATCCCATATGCAGTGGGCTACTTGACATCTTTACTTGGATGTTTATTAAGATTCTCAAACCTTAAATGTATCCAGAGAGGATCTTGTTTCCCCAGTGTGCCCCTGCCAGCTGTCACCCCATCCTAATCTCTCCTGTCTCAGTGAATGTGCACCACCTTCTCATTGCTTTAAGGGGAAATCATGAAGTCGTCCTTTTTTCTTGCCTTTCTCTCATCGCCATCCAACCCATCACCAGCTCTTGCTGAGTTTGCCCGTGATCTAACTTAGTCAACTTCTAGTCTTCTCCCCAAGAACAGAAAACGCTTCTATGTGAACACCCCATTCACAGGAATACATGGTTGAACATGTTTTTTATCATTCATCTATATCAAGGATCACTTATGCTCTTAGGGATTAAACTAGAAACTCAGCCTCCATTTATAAAGTTTCCCAAAAATGTTCTTAAAAGCTTTCAGAGTGTAACCCTTTTGTCAAATGGAAAATGTATGTATAGCAGCCATCTCTGTGAGTGGGTTCCAGCTAAGATTAAAAACTTTGGTTATTTTCACCATAATTTAGGTGTATCAAAAGTATATCAATAGTCACAGTTTTTTTTTTATGTGAAACATGCTCCTCTGTGAATGTGCCCTGCCTAAGCCGCCGATGCATCAGCCTTTGGAAACAATGCTCTAGCGCCACAGGCGGCAGTGCAGTAGAGAATGAGGAGTGCAGACCTAGAGCTGTCTGTAGAATTTAGAATTTTTACGTACAATGGTGAGTTAATTACGTAATGAACTAATGCACACAGACCACTCAAGGTGTAGTTTGTCTCCAAGCCGTTTGCTTTCAAGTCAGTTTTGTCTGATACTAATAGCATCCGCTCTGTTTTAGTTATGTGCATTCTCTATATGTCTATTCAT